CAAGTCAAAAAATAAGAAGCCTGGATCTTGGCTTGTGGGGGAATGTTGCTCTAATGGGACAAACAACTTGAGGAAAAACAGGCGCCTGAGATGTGGAGCGAGAGGGGTAATAAGGTCTCTGAAGAGCATGCTGAGACCGATATTTTCGAGGAGTTTTCAACTTTGGATTTTTTGTGGGCGCCAAGACCTAGATTTCGGCTAATTAGCCAGGAGGGCTTCTTTTGTCGATGAGTTAACGGCACTCCCCAGCGCCCTGGACGGCACGAAAGAAGCTAGGCTAAGCTACCATACAGCAATCACGCTCTGTCAAGACTTTTCTGACATTTAAGCACGACCTTCGGGATGGAGTTGGAAGGAGGCTAGAAAGGCAGAGTGTGAATTCTCCGAGGTACCCACAAGTCTGCAGTGCCTAGCTGGCCGGCCTTTTCGAACGCATCAGAAGGATCACTTTGTCTTCGGATTTAGTCCAAATGTCGGTATTAGGAGAGCCCCGCACCCAGTGGTTTTTGCGACTTTTCCCGGCTGCCATACACCCGCAAATGGCCATCGTTTCGTTGGCTGGAGAGGGGAAATAATGAAGGGCAAAGGGCTCCTTTAAGTGTATGATTGAATGAGGACTTTTCATTGCTCATCTCGTTAACTCTACAGCTTCACATCTAAAGCTCCGTTCACCTGCACCAGTGCTCAAATACCACTCTTCCTTCCTTTCCAAAAGCCCGAAATCCCTCTCGATCTTTAACCTCACAACAGTGTAGAGGTGGGTCGCAGGCGAGGGATTTGCTGAAAAGGGCTCCATCGTAATTGTGTAAGGAGTTTGAGGGGTGCTACTTGTTTTGATGCGAACCCCAGACAGATCCAGGTTTATTCATGAATAGTATGTTGGTGGTGATGAGTTTTTGTTCAACTTTGTTCCGGCTGTGAAATCTCTGTCGACTGATTTTTCGACCCAATTACCCAGTACAACTCCTTCAAGCCGATAATCCATCAAAAAAATTCATCCCACCCGTTTTCGTGACTGAATCTCGTGTCCGGAGGAATTTTACGCCTCCAGGTTTGTTGAGGACACCACTGACAGTTGTTCAGCCGTCGTCCTCCGATTCTGGAGAGTAATAAGCAATTTGGAGGACATATGCAGCTACTTAAATGAGAGCTTTGTAACAGAGAGTGCTCCGAGCTAGCGAGTGTATGGGCAGGCAGTATTTTCAGAGACAGTATTAGGGCTAGCTCTTACCATGGGAGTATTTCCGGAATGTTGGTCACGTCGGCGGCGAGAGAAGTATTGGATCTCGTGCTTGTCTGCGACAAATTTTAAGCCTTACTCTAAGCCCCATCGAATTGCTTCTTGGAGGATCCGTGAAAGATTTTCTCCATTTTCTTGGAGGGATTAGGAGGTGTGAAGGAAGGTGATGTAATCAGCACATGCAAATCTTGATTTGGCGGTTCCCTTGTGGAGAAGAGGGACAGTATATAGCATGAGTAGAATAGGAGATACTAGGTAGCCATAAGGTAGGCCACAGGAGACATTGAATCCGGGACCGGTTGAACCATCTAGGTGGGTCTTGGCAACGCTGTTGGGGGCAAAAAAAGCGGCCCATTTTACCAGGTTATCAGGCCACCCTTGTTCTCTAAGTCGGAGGACTAGTCGACCGGGGAGTACACGATCAATCACGTCCTTCATATCAAGCGTCAGGATGGATGCCGTATGCTTACCGCTCAATGCCATTTCGATATCATATATTAGGCAGGTCGTCAAGTCGTTGGCTGAGCGAAAAGACAAGGCTCCAAAATGTTGTAAGGCTACTTTTTTGCTCCCAATAGCTATCGAAAGGAGGCGGCGGACGATCAACCGTTCAAAGCCTTTCACCAAAGTCTGGAGGAGAGGAATGGATAGGTGTGAGATGGTTAGAGCGAGAGTGGTACGTAGCAAAGTCGCCATGTCCCGAACGGGCAGTCAGCATGTTATAATTATTATTACTTAACGTCTATTTGTATATTCTTACTGATGACTTTGGGTCATAGACTATCTAGCACACTTGACTTCTCTGGCTCAGGCCACACCATGTACAACGCTCCTGTCTCCTTTTGTGACTTGAAAGATCATTGATATATTCCCCTTGATGAATAGCTATTCAGCTCAGTGTTTGCTCGTGGAATTCGGCCACCTTTTCCACGGAGCTTTCTACGCAAAAAAAAGGTAGTAATGGAAACTGCGTGCGCGGGAAAAAGTCTCAAAAAACCTGCAGGCCCAGCCAGGCGAGGCCTATACACCGGGAACACATGAGGTACGCATATTCATCTGTATCTCCCCTTTCTTTGTAACTGTCGAGGCCGACTTGATCCAATCCACCATCTCCGCATCTGGTGCTGGGTACGCTCCAGAAACTCATCGGATGGCTTTTCCTCCATGATGGTGGTGATAGGGGGATATGCCTAGTGATGAAGACGATACAGACGGCGAAAGCGATTGGGAATCCTCGTCGAAGTGAGGACTTTGTTACTCAATCTCGGCTCTGCAGACTCTACAGTGAGAGCTGGAGGTTCATAGGGGACACCACTGATAGGTGTTGAAAATAGTCCCCCATTACTTGACGTCGTGCTAGCTCACAACACAACCGTAAGGTCTCATGTTGGCCAGCTGAGTCTACATAAACTATCTGACGCGCTGTGCGCGGGCACGACGTTAAATATTACAAATAAATATAAATACGAGATTATCCCCAAATTGTCTCTTCGATTTCTTGGATTCAGTTGGACCCCAAGGTTAAACTGGGCATCCCACGTCGAAGGATTACAAGCAAAAGTGGAGTCAATGGTGCAAGCATGGAGTTGACTAACTCAGTCAACGTGGGGTGCAAATGTCAACAAAATCACGATTATTTCACTACTCGGTAATAAGACCAGCGCTTACCTATGGATCCCATATCTGGGCCAGAACTGGACCGGCAGGCAGCATCTCTGAAAGGATAATCAAGCCATTCAGAAGTGTTCACAGGAAATTCCTAAAGCTCATTACGGAGGCATACCAGTCGACCAGTAGTAGAATGCTAGATCATAGAACATCAACTCTGCCGATAGACATCTACCTCAAACAAAGGCGGCTTCGATATACCGGGCTATCCAACTACCTACCTGTCCAACAGGAAATTTCAACTGCACGCAGAAAAATCAAATATTTTGATGAAAAAATAAACGCAATCAAAATAGAAGAGATGATTTAGCGGAATGGAACCTAATCTGCAGCAACATTGAGTCTAAAACAGGCCAGAAAGTAGCCGGTAAGAACGCCGCGTTCAAGGAATGGTCAGAATCCTGGACGAGCCAGAGAAAGGACCGAAACTTAGCTTCCCGAGCGTAAGCCAATCCGGATAAATGGAATGGTGCAAACTTATACAACGATAAGAAAACAGGTAGATATATGATGAACTATAGAGAGTCACCTATCCAAATCCACCAAAACCTTAGCAGGGCCCAGAGCAGCATTGTCACACAAGTATGAAGCGAGCACAGTGCGCTCAATACTTGATTCTACAGAAGGTACGTGCCAGGAGTAGGAAAACCATACTGTCAATGTGGATATCCGTCCCAAAATATAAAGCACACGGTAATGTCTTGTCCAAGATGGGCAAAGGGAAGAGGTGAGTTGCTAGGAAAATCGACAACCCGATCTTTCGAAGCTATGGTAAATAACGTCAATGATATGACTAGAATTCCACAGTGGATTCAAAAAGAAGGATTGCTGGAGCAGTTTCGGATGACCGGGGATACCGAGGCGTTAATCAGGCGAAGAGAGGAAAATGGAAACACTGGACAAGGACGGAATCCACAATGGCAACAACAGTGTGAGTGCACTTCCTAGAGGTAAGACGATAATAGCGTAGAGTCCAGTCAGACAGCTAAGGGGGTTTCTACGGCAAGGTTTCCTCCTATGTAAATGTTAAAGTTCGTTGACACCTGCATGGGCCCATAGGGCGCCAAATCTGGCTAAATGAAATCAAATTCAAAAAATATAAATAAATCCCCACATTCGGACAGGTATTTTCTACCAGATAGGTATTCTTGGCCTTTAGACAGAGAGGACCTACATGTCTTTATGAAGTAGTAGGCTCAATAGAACAATAAACATAAAATTAAAAAAGAGTAACGCTAGCCAGAGAATATACGTAATCTTCGCCCACCAAACACCAAAATTTAGCGACTTACCGACCACCGAACCTATAAGAAACGATAAAGTGTGTTCCGACACCGAAGTGATAGAAACCCCAAAAATTTACTCTTTAATGGAAATACTTCCATTAAATAGCACACGAATAATTTCTTAACACAACACCTTACCATTCTTTTCTTTTCTTTCTCGGGATATATAAGAACGGTGTAATCAACAAAGTCCATGCGCCACGTTTCTGCGGTATGGTCAATGTTTCTTTTTATTTTCTTGTTCTTGTTCTACAAGATACGAGTACCCGCAATGAGTGATGACTGATTTCCGAGTAAAATTTGAGGGCGAATTTTTGGATGTTCATATCCACTTTCTTTTTTCTGACGTATCCTTGGGGTGAAGGCGCCGACAGCGTACAGGAGTACTGTAAAGGTTTTACAGAACTCATCGAGCATATCGCTTCGCTAATCTCGATTGCTTTTGGTCTCGGTCTGATACCCTATATTGTTCTTGCCATTATTTGAAAGGTCTGAGATTTTTCAAAGTGAAGAAGGCTGCACATGATGCAATACATTGTGCGATATTTTGAATCTTTTCACCGTCTCTCAATACGGAAGATATTTTGTATTTTCGCTAAACTGTAAGAGTTGTGTGGTAGCATTTGAGGACCGCGTTTATAATATTGAGCTGCATGAAGACCTTACTCATTTTTCTCTTACCTTGCGGAATGTTAGACATATGAGACTATGCAGTCATTGGCAAATTCAAAATATGAATGACATAGATGTTGAACTAATGCATAGCTCGGCTCATTTTGTTGTACGTTTAATGCATGGCCAATATCTTACCTAGTCCTTGATCTAGATAGGATCTTTGACTGGAGGCAAGGAATATCTTCATTGGGAGTGTGACGAAAAATGCCAAGAAATCTGCATGATTTATTGATGAAGACCATGCAAGTATTTAATTGTCTTTCGTCTGTGAACACCTAGTCAGTTTCAGTGTGCGTAAGTAGAAGAGAAACTCTTACGCATGCTGTATGTACCTTCTTCAGGTAATCGCAATGGCCACATCAAAGCGGGGCCACTATCCTGAAACGAATGGCTTTGGGTCAGGAGTGGATACTTGTCGTGGTTGTTGGGTTCTGCGGTAGTTTGATCTTGCAAGGCATAACAGGCGGCCTGTAAATGGCTACTTATTGAAGTAGCGGAAAACTCGAGGGTCCCACATGTGTGTGCTCGGAGGTTTTTGGGACGCGATTCACCCATGCTATTTACTCCGAGGCTTGATAATAGGGGTTTATCTTCCTTCAAGTACCAAACTTCCTCGCATGCAATCCACCTATCCTTGACCTTATGCACCATGCCTCTTATGTCGAAAAATTGATTGAGCACGGCCTGATATGGACTCTTGGACATACCTAAGAATGATTAGTTGTATTCGGCTTCAATAGGGATTAGCTGTAACATGCTTGGACGCTTAGATGGTGAGTTGGACATGTCAATTGGGAAAAGAGTAACTTGTGTTTTGAACATTTTATTCAGAATCAATTTTTCTGCGGCCGGGATACTATCGTGGTAAGAAATTCCGAGCTTTTTGAACTTGTTAGCTTGTGATTTGGTGATTTGAACTATTTTTTGCGTAATTAATCTGTCCCGGCAGTGGTAGCCATAAATATTCGGCTTTTCGTTCTTTTTTGTGCCGGAAGAAAGGGTCAGGGTAAGAGGACTATTGACAGATTGAATACAGCGCTTATCACCAGAATCTTTGTTCTTCACCACGGCACCGATAAATTTGCATTTCGAGTTAATGACGACACGAAGTTTATCAAGAAATACTAATAAAGGTTAGGATACTAGAGTTCTAGGAAATCCTCTGTGCTGCATTTGAGGTGCTTGATCAAAAACTACCTTCGGAATGTGTCCCACCATTCTTCTCGATGGGCCAGGAAAAAAGGATGGCATCGTCAATGTTCAGCGTCGTAGTACCACTGTATGCAGCCGGGAGTGTGTGAAAATTTTCCACATTCCTGAGACTTTTACAGGCTCTTTTAGCAGATGACTGCACAGCTGCGAAGGGAATCTTCTTGTGACCACAGAAGAAATCTCCCTTGTGAGTGTTAGAAGCTATGGTTGTAGATAGGAGGCATAGACATGCTGCCATGCACATCGACAACGTCTTCATTCCGGGCTGTTCTATCCGACAAGCAAGTGTTTCGAAAAGTGGCTCAATCTTGGGTAACACAGGTATCCGAGTTTTGACAGATTACCTTCGTATCAGCACGCGCGCAGCCCGGAGAATATTTCTCGATATTGGATAACCTCTTCATGTCGGGTACTTTGATCTTTATGCATGTAGAGCTTTAGGAGCTAGTCATGTCGCGACAAAAGGGGCTCCAACAGTCGCAAAGGTAGGGCTGTTTCGAGATTTAACTTGGCCGACTATGCACCCTCAGTCGTCCGTATCAAAATAACGCATCTCAGCGCTATCCGGATTGTATGCTTCATCAACATGGGCTGTTGTTCCTGTAGTAATATTGGTAGAATGAGAGCCCCTCATCCAGCGGGGTTTGAGTTTTTTTCTGGTACTTTCACATTCAAAAATGACTCTACATAGTTAACTGGAGAAGAAAGGTAATAGCAAGCCAACAGCTTCATGTAGTAAGTGCGTCATCGAAGACTGACGCGGGTGTGAACACTGGGTTGATGGTGCGAGTGAGAGTGCTACCCGGGATATATAAACATTAATGGGAGAACAGAAAATGATCATACAACCTAAAATAGCGTAAGAATGCATAGTTCAAGGCTTTACTTCATATCTTACCCTAGCATTTGTCGCCGGGTTTGGTAGTAGTAAACTGTTCATTTGCTTGTAAAGTTGAAATAAAAGATTCCGTCTAAAAGCAGTGTGGATTCTTTGCTTAATTATTAATTTAAATGGCTAAACATCACGGGTATGTTTTGAGAGATCTTACTTGTTAACAAAAGAGGATGAGCTCTGTTCCAGGTGTGGCACGGGTTAGATGATCCCAAAGTACTAGATTATGATGGGCTCAAGTAGCGCAGTAAACACCCAAACCAACCAAGGTCGAAAAGATTGGACCAGGACTGATTGCGAGCCCTGATATTCTTCTCCCTAAACCAGCAAAGATCACCAGTCCCGCTACGGCCTTGGTGTGAGGGGATATGAAGGGTGGAACAGAAATCCAAGCATGCTTCCCACTCACTGCCAAAGTTAAATATCTGAATAAAAATGACTAAGTGGAAGAGGACAGTAGGTGTGTAGAGAGTCAGGAGTCATCCGACATGTCAACAGGACACTGACCATATGCCATGAGTAGACGACTGACTACTCAGTAAATGATTTAAAGAAAGTTCTGATAGGCTGCTAAAAGAGCCTTGATGTAGAGCATTTCCCGCGAAGTAGCCTAGGCCAGACTTGAGTCCATAGGTGGTCAACGACGAGGCCTTTTCGGGTAACTCGTGCACGCTAGAAGCTTTGCTGGCTGGTTGATACGTAACATAGGACGATGCCATAGATGCGTGGAAAACTACCGTTTTGGGGGACTGAAAGAGACTTTAGCTGTGCTTTCGTGGGCCGGCTGCTGGCAGATGATGCGACGTCTCTCCCGCAACCCAATACTATGACCATGTTCGTGTGAGTCATCTCAAGTGTATGTAAGACGGAGCACAAAAGCCTAGGTTAGATTCAAAAGTTCCATCACTTAATTCTGGCTCTGCAGAACGGACAATAAGCTGGGGGTCTGTTGCAGACTCAATTACTCCAATTGTTTGTGCTCTCGACGTTGCCTAGCGCAGAATGAGTCGTGATCATGAGTGGATAGATAGCTTCTTGGCGTATGGGCCGTGCTCGCTGGTAAGCTGCGACAGTTGTTTAACAGACACAATCTGCAACTCTGCCACAAAGATTGCACTGCTTCGTGTGAGTGTGTAGGCCCATGGACGGTACAGACACAACGGCGCCGTCGATGTCCATGAGTAGACGCATGAGGGCCGTGATTCTGGCGGAAAGCAAAGCGGTCGTCTCCCTCACCACACGGAAAGGGTTACGAGACCATCGAGAAGCTGCAAAGGGGACCGAATTGTATTGAGATGGGCACGCCCAAGGTCCATCTCAACTTTCCACCTTTTGTGTCGGGATTCGTGGGAATGGCTTGTGCATACTTTGAGCAGCTACAAAGAATGGGAAGGTGAGGTTTCTGGAGAGACTAGCGGATAGATTCGTAGGGTCTGGCGTGGACACAGAGGCTTACATGTCTTCATAATTACAGCCAAACGAAACTACTCTACGCAAGTTGTCAAGGCCATGCAGCCGGTCGACGTTCTCAATATTGTAGCTCTGCCCCGAACATTATGATTCCTTCCATCACATCCAGAATCAAAAGCGTACACAGTGTTGACCCTCTCCATCGCATCATTAGTTATCATGTTCATCGACCACGAAAATACCCATATTCCAACCCCACTACCACCAGCTATCAAATGAAAAGTAGACGGGCTCGTTTGCCCATGAGCACTGGAGCTTTTTCGTAAATGACCTTCCTCGCCATATCTTGCTGTGCCGTAAATTACTACTGCCCTTCCTCCCCTCTACGCGGATATCTTCGTCAATCCAGCGTGCTGCCTCTATTTAGGGTGGGATCATGGCATTAGAATACATGATATTTTTAATTGTAGTCCTATCTAAGTCTATTGGAATCATGGCATTGTAAATCCAGTTTCTACGCCAGGAGGTCACGTGGCTAGTCTCTTCACCTTGAAGCAGGCGAGTCACCACTGGCCTTTGCCAAAGCCACTCTCCGGAGAGCGTCTTTTCCAAAATTTTGCACTTCTCAAAATAACAGCAAAGAAGGAAGCCAGAATTCGACCTTCCATCTACCCTATGTTAGACCAGAGCCCTAGACTACGGCTTCAGAAAATTCTGACGCTCTTCTGTACTACTGAAGACAGGGACATGACTTTGGATTAAAATTAATAAATTCCCTCCAATTCAAATGTTTAGCTTCAGTAGATACATCTTGAAAACCTATCAATTGTAACAGGCCAAAACCTATATCAGACGGGTCTGTATCTTGAATTTGCTAACATTAAGCTCATTCAGGTGTCTGTAGAACTCTCTGGCTTTTACAGGAGATCTGGTGGTGATATGGTCCTTGCCTGCCCAATTTGATTCTGCATCACTGGTTATCTTTACATGACGGGCTCGTACTGTCACAGCTAGGATAGATTCCGACTCTTATCTTTATTCTTTTCTCTCCCCTTGTCTAACCACAGCTTCAATTCTGTGGCCATCCTTTGATTTGAATCCGCTGTAAATTTGTCGCTATATTTTTGGCGTCATTTAACATGGCTCTGTAAAGGCTTAGTTTCTACTTTGGTAGCAGCTTGCCAATCATGCGTGTCGGTATGTCTACGGTATGATCATAATAGTCGCATTGAAATTGCTACACGCTAAGATTCTTATTCTTGTAAATTGAGTCATCTTTTCTGTACTTTTCTTTGATATGGTGTCATAGCTGCAAACGCAATTAAAATATGATGCAAATAATACAAAATATGATTCTTATTCTCTCTCCCCAACTACGGAATGAACCTATAAGGTGAACTCCATCCCCATAACAACTTACATAATCATAACAAGTCAGGTGAAGTCCTACATTCCCATCTCCATTTCAACAATATTCAAATACATCCCATTGGGTCTAGACAACGCGTGACGAACAAAATAATACAGAAATGAATGGTGGCTTAGCCGCAACAATAATCTGGATGCATCTCGGAGCTAATTTTCAGGAGCTTCTCAAGATGTCAAAACTCCTAGTCTCTTTTTTTTTGCATCAGATTTTAATTACGTATGCAGCTATCTAGCTATGACACAATATCAAAGTAAAGTACAGAAAAGATGACTTAATTTACAAGAAGAGTACTTATGCCTCAGATTTTATTTACAAGTACCACTGCGAAGTTATAGCGGTTTTTGGGGACTATTCTCAACACCTGTCAATGGTGTCCCCTACGAACCTCCAACTCTCACTGTAGAGTCTGTAGAGCCGAGATTGAGTAACAAAGTCCTCACTTCGACGAGGATTCCCAATCGCTTTCGCCGTCTGTATCGTCTTCATCACTAGGCATATCCCCCTATCACCACCATCATGGAGGAAAAGCCATCCGATGAGTTTCCGGAGCGTACCCAGCACCAGATGCGGAGATAATGGATTGGATCGAGTCGGCCTCGACTGTTACAAAGAAAGGGGAGATACAGATGAATATGCGTACCTCATGTGTTCCCGGTGTCTAGGCCTCGCCTGGCTGGGCCTGCAGGTTTTTTGAGACTTTTTCCCGTGCACGCAGTTTCCATTGCTACCTTTTTTTTTTGCGTAGAAGGCTCCGTGGAAAAGGTGGCCGAATTCCGTGCGTAAACACTGAGCTGAATGGCTATTCATCAAGGGGAATATATCAATGATCCTTCAAGTAACAAAAGAGGATAGGAGCACTATACAAGTTGTGGCCTGGGTCAAAGAGTATCTCAATGCACCAGATAGTCATAGACTTAAGTAGTCCGATAAACAAACACACACTATAGCGGAACTTTCTTCATCCCAAGTCAACCATTAGCCTTGGATACCCACCCAGGGGAACGTCCCAAAAACCCTGGGTGATCCAGACATGCCTCCATCATCTTTCAACTTTTCTCCGCGCGAAATATGGCCTGAGATATCTCCTTCCCAAGTGGAATAGGTGCCCAGGCTACTCAGACTACACCGGAGAACACCACCGGGAGGCGGACCGCGGCACCTTCCATCGTTTGCTTGTTTTTATAGAACTTCTAATTCATCGAGCGCATTTTCTACTATGTGATACTTTATCCTTGATGTTCTGGGTAGCCAGTCATTGTGAATCTGGGATGCACCGAGTCTAGTTTCTACACGAGAATCGCTGCAGCAACGTCTTGATCCCTCGTCTCTCGCGAGCGAGCATTATTCTAACTTATGGATATCTCCATAGATAAAGAGATAATGATGTAACATTGACTCGAATCCGGAAGATAGTCGTCAGAAGACGGGCGCAGCTTGTAGAATCGCCCCTTTACTTGACCCATCTGGGACGAGCCATCACCATGAGCTTCACGTCATGACTCGCATAAACTTTTTGGAATCTTGATTT